GATGGAGGTCAGGGGTCTCCAGGGATGGAGGTCAGGGGTCTCCAGGGATGGAGGTCAGGGGTCTCCAGGGATGGAGGTCAGGGGTCTCCAGGGATGGAGGTCAGGGGTCTCCAGGGATGGAGTTCAGGGGTCTCCAGGGATGGAGTTCAGGGGTCTCCAGTGATGGAGTTCAGGGGTCTCCAGGGATGGAGTTCAGGGGTCTCCAGGGATGGAGTTCAGGGGTCTCCAGGGATGGAGTTCAGGGGTCTCCAGTGATGGAGTTCAGGGGTCTCCAGTGATGGGGGTCAGGGGTCTCCAGGGATGGGGGTCAGGGGTCTCCAGGGATGGGGGTCAGGGGTCTCCAGGGATGGAGGTCAGGGGTCTCCAGGGATGGAGGTCAGGGGTCTCCAAGGATGGGGGTCAGAGCCCGGACCTCACCCCTACTGATCACTGACTGTGAGCCCGGGTCTTCTCATCCACCTTCAGGACCTGACCTCACACATGGGACAAATCCCCTCAGACACCCCCCAAAATCTTGTGGAAGCCTCCCCAGAGGAGTGGGGGATGGTAAACACACAAATATGGGGGGGAGGGGCAACTCCATATGAATGGCCATTGTTTTGGGGTGGGATGTCCATCTAGATCAGAGAGGTGCTGACAAAGATTTGGCCATGTTGTGTACTGTGTGTGATAATACTGAGGACAGTCCTGGACACTCCCCCATCAGCTCTGCGATCCAATCATTGTACTGTATATAACCGTGATGTCATCCCTAGTATAATAGAACTTGTATCAGGAGAGCGGTGATGTCATCACTAGTTTAATAGAACTTGTATCAGGAGAGCGGTGATGTCATCACTAGTTTAATAGAACTTGTATCAGGAGAGCGGTGATGTCATCACTAGTTTAATAGAACTTGTATCAGGAGAGCGGTGATGTCACTCTTGTTTGAATGTAGCCAGTTGCAGACGTTAGACCTTCTTTGTTGTGTACCCCCCTGCAGCTCTGCGATCCAATCATTGTACTGTATATAACCGTGATGTCATCCCTAGTATAATAGAAC